GAATAAGCTGGAGCAGAACAAGCGCAAGCAGACTAAAATTCAGGGGACAGGCTAAGTTGGCTGATTTCTTAAATTGAGTGCTATATATAAATGGTCTATAATATTAAATGTTGAAATGTTCTAAAATCTTCCGACGTGGTGTCACAATATTATGTCACCTGTGCCGAGTATGAGAATGTGTACTTCCTTCCGGTTCGAGTATTAGAAAGGGCTAGTATACTGAAAAACGCCGTACAACGATACGGACGCGCTATGTCGTAACTTTAGAACGGTGTGAGGTAGAAATAAGCTATCTTCACAACATATATTGGATATATACATATGTATAGATATTAGTAGCACCTAGGTCAATGAGAATGGGAAAATGCCGTGTGTGGGTATCAAAACAGAATGATTTCAGTCAGGATTCCAGTGATTACATTAACGTACGCCGTCCCCTTACCACTGGGGATCGGGGGATAATTCGGCTTTAGGGGTTTTAGAATTATATTTTGGGTAGAAAGAGAAGATCTTTTGTTGTGAATTATATGAGAAAGAAAAAGGAAAGCCGGCCCATCAGGAAACGTTGAACGAATATGGAATGGAAAAGAAATTGAGCATCGTGGTTTCCCAGTGCTTCAGCATGAAAGAACAAGTAAAGTGTTACTCTATCACAGTATCAACGTATATAAAGCGACCAACGCAAAAAGACGATTTAGGGACTTTTTTCGCCTGAAAAATTCGAAAAAAAGACGCAGCTTCATTTTCACGGGGGATTAAATAACCTCGTCAAGCAAATGCAATGGGAGCTAATGAATAGGAAACGCGTAAATTTGGAAAATGATCATCAGCCATCAGAAGGTGATCGGAGAATTCCTTCTCCCCCAAAGTCCAAAATCTACCTCCATGTTGGCCAGCCATCCTCAGAGGTGGCAAGACAAATGATGCGAAAACTTCTAGGAGACTAGTCGGAGATGATAATAGGCAGACATTTGCAGAAATCATCCTATGCAACTAGTAAAACGAGTTCATGGCCTTCATATTACTTCAACTCTGACCTCCCTATCAACCTTGAAGCATATGAAGCTTCACATCAACAAAACCAGTGACTACTCCAAATGCTTCTACATGCTTCAAAGTACAAATTAAAATCTTGGTTCATGGAGGGGATATTATTTTATTATATTAAAAAATTCTTGCCTACCTATTTGAATGCTTTTCAAACAAATAGCTGAATCAAGAAACAAGGACTACCGTATTCCTAGGGAACACAACGCTCCCGACACAAGCTGAGAGGTTAATGCGGGTGATGCGCTTAATCTTTGCATAGAAACATCCGATCCAATCGTATTTGGACTTGGTGTTGCAAGTAGAATAATAGAAACAGAAAGCCCATTCCGGAAGACACAGCGGGACTGCTTCTACCCCCCAGACAGACATACCTCCTAGTCCGGAAAGGATCCTGTTTCCTCGGGAACAAAACTATGATGAAGGCCAAGTACGGTGATGCGAATGTGAATAAGAAAGTTTGCGTTTTGAGAACGAGGACAAGGAAATAGAGTCAGAGAGACAAAGATGAAGCATTCGAAGATAAAAGTTGCCAAACCGAATACCTTGTGGAATGTCAATTTTTATATGTTTGTTTAACCATTTCATTGCAACAAACACGGATTAATGTTACTAGTCGTTAAAAAATCAGCTTTTCGAGACCCAACACTGGTTTGGGTAAATTGTACCTGCATTATTAATGTTATTTATATTCTATTTAATTGTTTTCTATAGAACAGAAGTGGTTGGTAAATAAACGCAATACATTTTGCATTATTCAAAATGCAACTAATCTATTGTCCTTTAGTATAATTGGCTTGCATGGTATAAAGCATGAATGTCTTGATCAACCGTTTCTGGTCCCCACTACCATGTCAATCAAGCTGAATGGAAATCCATACAAAGGGACAGCCACTTATCTAACAGTTAAGGGGCCCACCATGGTCACGAAAGCAAACTGGATTCTAACCCCTAAATTGAAAGTATAATACCTAAAGGAGTCATCCACTCCTTGCAGGAGACACAAATCATGCAGTAGTTATTGATGGAAATGCTCTATTTGTACGCTAAAAGTGAGATTTGTAGTCGACTAACTGTGAAAGTTACATGTAGTGAAACATGATTAAATTGTGCGATCAGTAAATGTTTTTAATCATTTGATTTCTTTCAGGAATTTAGTGCAAATTGAATTTGTCATTTTCGGTATTATTATCTTGAGGGAAAATCTTGAACATGTATGTCGCTTTATTCTCAATCAAGTTTCTCCAAGGAGCATAGTAAACAATGATACTTCACTGTAGCAACTTGCCCAGACTGGACAAATGTCAATTGCTAGTTTATTTGAAACAAGTACTTTAACCCGGTTAGAGATAATTCAGCTCCGCTCATTTATTGTCGAGGCTAGACCTCGCCAAAGCTTTAGGTTCACGATTATTTTGAAAGTTGTGTTTAATAAAGTCATACCAATCCTAGTTTGGACGTCATTTACAACCGTACCTTCATCTTGCTTTGATTTAGCACACATGTTTAGAATTAAAATGCCATGCATTATTAAATGGGGCCAGGCCTGGTAAAGTTCCCAGGGCCGGGCTAGGCAAGTTTGGGATGCCCAATACCACGTATCGTCATAACCAGTTTTAAGACTTGTATTATTCCGTAATCAGTATCTTGCAGTATTCAATTACAACAATTTAAGTGTATGATGTAATTTATTTTATACTCACTTCATTTTGAGCCGATGTACCTATAGTAAAGTGCAAATCAAGTGGAAATATGAGACTGATCAAAATTCCTCTTCAGCAAACACAATTGAGGAACAAATGAAAGATATTCAAGAAGCTCAGATGGAAACTTACAAAACCCATCAGCTTTTTGAAACAGCAAGCAGCCAGATACCAGCCGTTGAAAGTAGAGAATTATATTACTTCTAATTTGATGATTTACTCCTTAGTATATGTGTTTCTTAAGACTTTTAAAAATTCCTGACACTTTCACGCGGTCTTAGCCACCATACCATCCGTTAAACTTGGAGAAGATTGTCAAGGAGCATTTATCCCATTGAGAAGATATTTCAAGCAAAATCGGCAGCCCAACCCGGAAAGTCGACGAGGTAAAGATCGGTAGATCCCTTATGTCTCGTGCAAAAAATTCCAAACTCGGGACGAAAGCATCAATTCCATTTGAAGCTATTTGATACTTATCTAGAATTAAAAATTTAATCTGAGGTGGACCATGTACTTAGCCCGGATGATTATGCCACAGGAATTATCTGCGGGCTCTGCTACGATCCTTTGGATTATGAAAAAAAGGCTGGCTCATTCAAGTATAATTCATCGCAAGGTATGGATTTCACAGTAGTTCCTCACCCAGAAGCTTTCCTAAATAAAAAAAATTGCATTCCCACACGGGAAGGTAAAAATATATTGTCAATGTTCAAAGCAATTGATTAGAAAATGGCGGAAATAAATAAAGAGGCCGGAATCCCTTTGGGAATTTAGCATACACAGCAATTCAATTGGATTGAAGCATCGAGCGAGACGAAGATTACGTGGCATTAATGGCTTGAGAAGCAACCATTGGCGACATTAACCATGAGCAAGATTCCGGCCGAAATTTTGGACACTAAATATAAGTGACTGAATATAAGTGATATAAGACACTCTATATATTACTTCAAAACGCCAATTCCGAGCACCGAGCGTCCGACGCCAGTATGCTTCCGTTGAGCAAAAATTTGTTGAACAAGCTCAGAAGATAATACTCAAGTGCAGAGGGATAAAACATTTATTGTCTTTTATTTCCGGAAACGTAGGTATGGCGATAACGTTGACTTGATAAATACTTTAAATACTTGTTTCTGCATTGGACGAATACCCGTGTCCCTACACAAGAAGCTGAGGAATATAAAGCTAGCATAATTCTAACAAAAAGTCATGAATTTCATTGCCATCAAGGATAGATTATCGTCGACACCGTTCCGAGTAAGCTAAAACTTGCCATCCTTCATTAAAACCTGCCATATCAAGTAATCTATGTCGCTAATTTTATTGTTCCAAACAGGGCCCGGGCTGGGCATATTTGCGCCCTAGGCAACATTTTTCTTGCGCCCAACTACCTGCCATTACTGAGGTTTGCGCCCAGACTACTCCTCGCTCTTAGCATTTTTAAAATAAGGGGAGAAATAAGGGGTTTAAATAAGGGGAGCAATAATGGCAAGCTTTGTAATTAAAATATAACAATTCTGAATTTGTGATGAAAACTGAATAATGAAGCGTTGCATCGGTAATGTTCTCACGTGGGAGTGAAAAGGATCGAGGAAAAAACGAGAAAAATCATACGTTGGGCCGGAAAAGGAAGGAGAAATTAATTATGTATTTTGGCGAACTTGAGGCATGCCTACTGATATAGCTGAATTTGTAGCATCTGCGCAAGTGCGGAACTACTGTAGTTTGGAAAGAGTTACTCTAAAACTAAAAAATCACAAAATTCTCTGGGCTGAATATGGTTTGCGCCCGCCTTGTGAGATGTTAAGTTATTCTAAGATGTTGTTAATTTTTGTAAGCGTCAATCCTATTTGCATATTTGAATACAATTTACATAGTAAGCGTAAATTATTCACCGCATACCGTTCTATACTTTAATCTTAATTTATGTCTCCTCAAAACTCAAAATTTGTATATTTGCGCATAAGTGTTTATCTCCTGTCATCGAAATTATTTGATTAAATGACTACTTCCTCGCACCGTAACCGAGATTTGCCAATATGAATAAAATAAAGTCCTTCGTTTTTTGCGCATTTCATGGAACCTTTAACATAAAAAACTGGTCTTTCTATATTTTTAATAACTCTGTTTATTCATCTTTATTTCATAAATATGACTTAAAATAAATTGTAGCTAACTAGGATTGTTTTTTAATTAGAAGGTACACGAGGTTAAATACAAATAACGACTACGAACATTCTAAAGTGACGACTAAAACAGTACTTTTCGGGATTTCCTCAATGCAAATTCATTGATTATATCATCAAAATCTATTTCACAAGTCAATTCCTTTTCAATTGATAGAATTGCTAATCCACACAATCTTTCTTCACTCATTGAAGATCTCAAGTAATTCTCGATTAATTTTAGCTTTGAGAAGCTGCGTTCTGCTGAAGCAACGCTGACAGGAAGTGTCATAACTATACGCAAAGAAATCCAAATATTTGGAAAAACTCCCTCCAAGCACGATCCAGCGATAAAGTCAAGCAAAGCATGCGGATTTGATTTAAATTTTTCAGGAAATGAATCACGCAATAACTTAAATTCATCGAAGAGTTGACTTCCTTCGATATCCTTATCCTTGCCGTCCATAAACCTAAAATGTAAATCTTTACAATTTCTTAATAGCTCCCCTTCATCACAAGTACTTCTACAATCAGCGTCAATGATAATTTGGAAGTCCGAGAGGTTCTTTCTCATATGTGTGAATCGACGAGTCATCGAGTCTTGAACGCAGCTCACAAGTTTATCAAAACATGAATTTTTAAATTTCAAAGCGGGGTCATTGTTGGAGTTGTTGGTTGCATTTTCAGAATTTTCCTCATCAAAATGTGATTTTCGTTTTCTCATGCGAGCAGCGGTGAATATCATTTCATCCTCCTCCAGGCCAAGTTCTTCACCTAACTCCCGTGCAGTGATCTGGGCTGTTACAAATCCATTTCTGCCATAATCTTCAAGAAATTTCTCGGTATTGTTTAGGAGTTGCAATGTGGCACCAACGTTTACGGTTTTCTCTTGAGTCATTTTGCTAACGACATTAAGGTGATGTAAGAGGTCATACCAAGCGGACAAGAGTACAAGAAATTCAAATTTTTCGATTTGCGAGCAAATGTTGTTGGCCTCAAATCTTGTGTCGACGTCAAAGTTTGTATTGGCGCCTATTTCGAGTAGTGCGTCCCGCACTCTACTTATTTGAAACCTCAACGCCTTCAAACTGTCAATCCGACTTTCCCACCTAGTTGCCGATAAAGGTTTCACGGTAAATTGCGTGGCATGTTTTCGAAAAATATCCCATCTATTTGTAGACGCAGATGCAAATGTAAAGATCTTCTGAACGACTCCAAAAAATGTGATTGTTTGCGTCGCTGATTTAGCTCCATCTGACAATACCAAATTGCAGGAGTGGTGAACGCATGCTATGAAAGTGGCCTTAGGGTTAACTTCGAGAATTCTGCTGTGAACACCCCTAATGTTCCCTTTCATGTTGCTGCCATTGTCATAAGATTGGCCCCTAATATTCTTCAAGTCAAGTCCTGCGTCTTCTATGAACTTCAGTACGGCATCGGTAAGCCCCATTCCAGTCTTGTCGTGAACAACCACAAATCCAAGAAAGCTTTCCGAGATTACTACTTTTTTCTCTTTGCAATCCACATATCTGAGAATAACTGACATTTGCTCATGATGGGCGATGTCCGGAGTGCAATCCAGAATTATGGAAAAGTATTTATTACGCATAGAAACATAGAAACAATTAAAGCCGAAATACCAGAATTACGAGCGAAATTAGTGCTGCTACTCGCTTTAGCAGAAGCCATTTTAAAAGAAATTGAAGAAATGGCTCATGAAGAATAGTGAAAGTGCTAATTTATTGCACGCGAACATTAGTGAAGTGGAAATTAAGGACACAAAGAGGACTAAGATAAACTAACTTTTCGCAGTGAACTATGGATTAGTCCGCGGTTTAAAGCGGTTTTATCGACTACTTATTATTTTGAATTCCGGACTCCCTATCCACCCTGAGGCATCACCAACACTTCAAATGGTTGTACTTGCCTCGAAGTAAAAAAAAATAAAAGCTTGGTTCATCGAGAGGATATAATTAAAAACTCTTGCCTACCTCTTGGAATGGTTTCCGAACATTCAGCTGAATCAAGAAACAAGGACTTCCGTACTCTTAAGGAACACAACGCTCGCGATGCAAGGCGAGAGTTTAGTGCAGTTGATGTGCTTAATCGTTGTATGGAGACATCTGAACAAATCGTATCTGGACTTGGTGTTGCAAGTAGATCGAATTATAGAAACGGAAGGCCCATACCGGAAGACGCAGCGGGACTGCTTCCACCCCCCATACAGAATACCTCCTAGTTCGGCAAGGATCCTGACTCCTGGAGACGAAAATGACGTCGTAGGCCAAGTGTGATAAGGCAAATTTGAATAAGAAAATTAGCTCATTCCATCCAAACATACAATTCACCTGTGAATCAGAAATAGACAAGAAAATTGCCTTTCTCGACATCATAATTACATACAATAATGATGGACAAATACAACGACAAGTTTATCGAAAACCCACTCACACAGGGAGATACCTAAATTACTCATCTTACCACCACCCTTCCCAAAAGATTGCTGTAATTGATGCTTTAGTTTACAGAGCATTAGCAATTTCTGATGACCAATTCTTAAAGGATGAACTTACCTTTGTGGCCACCTCACTAAAAAACAATGGCTACCCAAAAAGTCTCATCAACCAACGAATATCAAGAATGAAGAAAAAATTCTCAAATACGACACTCCAACCAAACGGTGACGAAGAAAAAAAGCCAAGGATCATTCTTCCATATATGGGACCGCTTACCCACCGATTAACTGGTTACCTCCGGAGAAAACTTCAATGCGAATTTGGATACCTCACGGGAAAAAAGATGAAACAATTTATTTGTGATTACAAGGAAAACCCACCTCCAGACCTGGTAGGAATTTATCAAATTTTATGCTCATGTAATGACAAATACATAGGAGAAACCAGCCGACCCCTCGTCAAACGCATCAAAGAACACCTGAACGATATCAAAAAGAAAAATGTCAAATCAGCGGTAGCATTACACATTTTAGAAAATCCAAGTCATCGGATAACAGAAGACTCAGCAAGTCTCCTTATTGCCGAAAGAAGAAATTTTCACAGAAAATTTCTTGAAAGTTTGCACATAAGAAAAACCACCAACGCCATAAACCAAGACAATGGGATGAACCTCAACCCCATCTGGTCATCATTAATGTTGCCACTTATTTAAATTCCATAACTACATTTGTATAATTCAACAAATTATCATTTCTTGACAATTTAGAACTGCACTGTATTTCAATTCCAAAAATTGTTAAAATTCCTCATTTTCCTGATGATGATGCGAGTTTAGCATCGAAAGCTCGAATAAACTGCTTTTATAAACCACACCCATGTATTCCGACGAAGCCTCCTCAAAAAGAAAATTAGCGTTTTGAGAACGAGACAAAGAAATGAAGTCAGAAAGACAAAGATGAATCATTCGAGGATAAAAGTTGCCAAACCGAATACCTTGTGGAATGTCAATTTTTATATTTTTTTTCTATCCATTTTCTTACAAGTATTTACTTGCTTCGCACTAATTTGACAAACCCCTACTAATGTTACTAGTTGTTAAAAAATCTGCTTTTCCAGACCCAATATTGGTTTGGTTAAATTGTATTTGTATTATAATAAGTTATTTATATTGTATTTAATTGTTTTCTATGGAAGGGCAGTGGTTGGTAAATAAATGCAATACATTTTGCATTTATTTGCAAAGTTTGTTTCCCCATCTAATTGTTACAAATACGTACCACATAATAATTAAATAGTCGCTATATATTTTAGGAACAATGAATTGGTTCTTCTTTGCGGATAAAGCAGAAACTGTTTATGATAATACGTCTAGAATCTTCCCAGCTCGGAAGCCTGGCTTCAGGGAAATTTTGGGGCTCAGGGGAAATTAAAGTTTAAAAACAATAAATAAAGATGACAAAAACAATGGGCACGCTATATATTTTTCTTAATGTCGTTACACTTTTCCATCTCGCGAGACAGTGGAAAATAGAAATGACATGGTTTTCACGTAAAAATTGCCTTGCAGCAAAGAAAATTAATAATCAGACTTCAGATTTCCCTAACAATTATGCATGCAGGGAAATATTTCCTGGCAAAAGTTGGGATAGACAAAGTGCTACGCTTACTAATTGCAAAGAATATTCACACTTAAAGAAAGTTCACAGACAATGTGCATTGCCTACTTCCGTTCACAATCGGATCCGATGGGATGTGCTGCATCGGATCTTATGCCTATGCATTACAGATTCATATTCTCTTCATCATCTTAAATAAAGCAACTACGTACGTGAGCTACGAAGGAGAACACACCAATCTGAAAATCACAGATCATGATGTATATTAGATGCTTGGTAGTGCGTATCAAGAAAATAAACATTATGAAGATGTCTAATGCCATGGCCAAATCCCAAAATTGTAATCTAGTTTTGCTAGGATTTTCATAATTTTTACATAATAGTAGTCCCAGATAGTTGTTTTTTTTTATAAAATCAAGTAACCGTCTTCAGATGAAAAATAAATGTTTCAGAAATTTTTAATAGTTTTGAATATTTCCTGCACCGGAACTGGCTTGAAAAAATTCAAAATGTCGGAAGTTGAGATTTATGTATTATATATACATATACATATATTTATATATTATACATATAGGTACATGTGTACAAATCATGAAAATCCAAACGAATTGAATTTTTGGATGGTAGAATTAGTAAGTCAAGTTTAACGCTTGGCGCCCCCTCAAAGAGGCGTAGAAGGCTCAAATTTGATCACTACATCAAAGAGCTTCACACTTTATTCTCTAACAGGGTACTACTATATGCATACGTAGGACACCAAAACTTATAACTATCAGGTTGGAGGGTTCTGCTCCTAATACTCATTTTTGTAACCAATTGGCTATTTTCTTGTACTTCAACCACAACTCTAGACCTGATCCTTTCTTTCACACCAGACAATAGTAATCTCCACTTGTGGCCCAGTCTCCACTAAACTTTCCTGAGACTTTCCCCTGGAAAATGTCATTGTCAAAAGTTCGAAAACAAGACAGCAAAGAAGCTCTACAGCGCATTCATCATGCGTCTCGTGGCGAGAAATCGCTACAAGTTCATGATTATTCTGGCGTTTTCTATCCCTTCATATAAACTTTTAACAGGCAATAATTTAGTTGGTACTATAACCACCGTCAGAATTCAGTAATATCTAGAGTGATGCACGACGGCACGGAGAAGCTCGCCCGCAAATCTCCCTACTTCTTCGGCCCCGAGTTGGAGCCGTGGGAAGAGGCCACGTATGGGATTAAAATAGAAATTGTGGAGACTTACCGGGATTAGGCTACCCTGGTTACTTACCTGCCACTTCAGGGACATGAGTCGGCGGCGTGGTACAATGGAAATGAAGAAGATAATAAGTTATGATGTTCTTCATTTCCTAATTGATGAAACCCCCCTCGATTTTTACTTACGACAGAAGAATCTGTTATTTCGAGGACTTTCGTCTTATAAACCGATCGTCTCGGAAACAATCAATCAAAACATCATCATTTCCTTGCACATAACATTTTTTATTTAATGAACATTTATGGTTCCCAGCATTTCAGTGGAACAAGCTACTAGTTATGAGATATGACTTTATACGTACATGAAGTTGAAATCAAATCAGGCAACACTAACCCCTCTTTAGGAGCACCGAGATACCAATATTTCTGCTGTTAAAAATCGACCACATGTAAAATCACAATAATTTCACAAGATATTAAATGTATACAAAGGAAGTTTCCAATTTAATCAACCAAGTGAAATACGTGCAAAAATTTTAAGGTAGTTGCAAAAGAGTACCAGGCAAGCACTTGTGAAAATGTAGAATAATTTTTCACCCTTTACCATGGGTTTTGTGTAATGGACATGGATAAACAAAGTCAAAGTTTAAAATCTGAATACATGATTGTACCAATCAGTCTGTACCATATTTAATTCCCCCATTTGTTGAAAGTTGCTTAACATAAAAAACTGATTAAGATGGCCTCGTATTTAATGAAAGTTAAACGCAGGGAAGAATGTGATTAATGATGCCCCTGAAAAATCTACAAGCAACACCGATAATTGTTTATGCGTTTTGTGTCCCTAGGTTCTTAAGCAGCCAAACGCTCAATAGTAATATACAAAACATTTTTCATGGACTCGAACAGAAGAACAGTATAAGAAAGATACTAACTAGAAGGACCCAACTTTATTATTTATTAAATTTCATTGCTCACAATAGGTCTGGCGATCCTTGCTGCGAAGCCAATCAACAAGAAATTCGATTACTTGAAGCGACAATGGTCAAAATGGAATATTGAAAAATTAACTAACCTAACCCAACCAATGATTTCAAATAAACGTGTCCGCTTCCAAGGATCTCCCAAAAATTTATCTACTATGAGAAATGACGATTAATCAAGTCGAACAAAGTCGAAGGAAAGATGAGAGAGACGATATGTATCGAAATTAACAACTGCATTGCTGCACGAGTAACAACGAAGGTAGTACGAAAGGAGTGTGATGTCTATTTTTACCCATTTCTCGTGACAATGGAAATGCGGGATTAAGTATCCTGAGATCCAGAAAATTTGTTTGTACCAGTATGGAATTTAAATCCACACACGGGGACCTTACAGAATGGTTCAGTACTTATAATAGCACGACCTTGAAAAGAAGCCATTGGAGCTAAATTAATAAGCACGGCCGGAACATCCATAGGAGGGCAGAAAAACTCTGAAGACAAACTAAAAAAGGAATTTGACGAGAAGCACTTCGATATTAATCTTAATCATGAAGCTGAGCCAGAGGCCAGAAAATACTTGGTGAAAATGCTGCAAGTATAATGAGATAACTTTGCACAGGACAACACTGAAATTGAGAGACTCCATTTAGCGTAAAAACCGTAAGTAAAGAAAGCAAATACTTGCTGAACAAAATGCAAATCCTGTCAACTGTGGAACCTCTACAAAGTTAAGTCTAACGTTTATGTGTGTATGTATGTGGATCCATACAAAACACGGTGAACTTTTAGGAAGTGCAAAAAACCCACCAATGAACGACAGTAAATTTTTTGAAGGTTTTAAATCTAAATAAATATGAATTATTGAACCACGGGTTTGCTTTTAAATACAACAAATGCAATCCTCCGACCCTTTAAAATTTGAGATCGATATTCTCAAATTTCAGTCACATTTTTGAATAAACGAGTAAATACATCCATCTTGCATACTGACACATGAATACTCCGAATATCATGGATATGAAGACCATCGCCGTGCAGTCCATACTTTAATTCGCTCCAAATGAATTGCTTAATTTGAATTCAAAAAGCAACTAAAATTATCACTGATGATACAAATCGGAAAAGATCAAACCGTGCACGTTAACTTTCAATAAAAATGTACCCCCACAACAACAAAGTTTTGGTACGTATTTACATGGCGCCATAAAATGTTGGACGCTATGGTAAGAAAATTAATTAAACTAAACTTATATCTAAGTAATTTCGTTGATAAAATACATTAATATAATTACTTATTGCCTAAAGATGACGGGACTCATACCTCTTCAAAATTACATAAATAAACTATCCTAAAAGTTAAATAATTCGTTTAACGACCTTAAATCCAAGTTTGCATTCCCATATTTACTCTGCGACGTATCTCCGGAAGTTAAGGACGCCTACGCAACTTTAGGATGAATTATGTGTACTCGATTTCTTAGCTCGGTATAGGTTCAAAATCCTGAGTTAGTATCAATAAGATAGAAAATTTGTGTTAGAGTTCTGCCAAAATTAATAAGGTACAAATTGGAGTTTTCACAGATAATCACTTATATGGTGAGGAATTTATGTAGGCATGTCGTTAAATATGCCGGAGGTGTCTTCAAACCTGCTGATTGGAAGAGCGGCACCCCTTCTTGGCTGCTCCTGTTAAATGACAAAAATTATTTTCAGTATTACACACTCTAAATAAGAGTTATGCTAAAATTACCCAAACTGGAGTAAAAAAAGAGAAAGACACAACAACCAGGTAAAACTTATACAATAGTTGTGCAAATATTGTCGAATTTTTTTATACACTCAAAACAAGGTAGTAATGAATCATTACCATGCGGAATGACTATGTGGCTCTACCACGTCGGTTACGATTTGTCGTAGAAATGGTAATAATAAGTTCAGGGAAATTCAAATTCATTACCAAATATTAAGGAAGTGAATACCATTATGCATTAAATTTGAATTTCCCTGAACTTGTTATTACCATTTCTACTACAAATCGTAACCGACGTGGTAGAGCCACATAGTCATTCCGCATGGTAATGATTCATTACTACCATATTTTGAGTGTTGAACGGATGAGCAAATTTATCGAACGGTTGTATAAATTTTACCCAATTGTTGCGTCATCCTCGTTTTTTTTCAACCTTAGGTAAATTTAGCACAACTCTTATTTACAGTGTTCATACTTTTAATCAACACCATTCAAAATTAAGCCGAGGGAACGTCCACGTATTTCGTCATCAGAAATACGCCGATTATTAAATCATTCACTAACCCCTTCTCATTTTAAGCTTAACCCTAATAAGTTATGCCTATGACCATCCGCCCAACTTCTTCTTGGTGACGTAATATTTATATACATACACGTTCCCAAATATTAAATTAACGTTCTTTCAAAATGAGAAAATTAAAACGCTGGAAAAATTTACTCACCAGACATTTTTTTCGAATTGGCTGCATTTATGAAAAATATATAACGAGGAAATCCAGACACAAAACGAATGATTAGAGAAGGACCTATAATATTAATTTAAAATTTACAAGTTTCTTAAAATTCAAACAAAACTACGCAAGATATCTAACTTGTGGCGTATCTTATTTTAATAAATTATTATTAATAATAAATAAATTACCTCAAAGCAAGGTGAAAAGGATAATTTGATAATAAGCGTTTGTCCAATGGAAGAATCGGAGAAGAAATTAAGATCTGAGTCTACATAATCCATGGGAAGAATTATTGGAGTGGAACCTGTGAGAAAATAATTTTCACAAGAAAACGTTTTATAATAAAATCATTGCTGGTAAATGTATTTAATTTCTATTATTAATGATCTCTATCATACTAATTTCCATCGGCCGATTTAGGTTTTCTTAAAAAGTAAGCAATTTAGCAATGCCAATATTTATCTTTTTGAGAACGAAGTAAATATGTATGTAGCATACACGAAAAAAATCTAGATATACTTATATAAATATTAAAATATAGAAATTAAATAAATTATAAAAATCCTGGATGGTACCGCCCCGTCCAAATTATTATTAACTATCAGGCGAAATTTTGTAATCATAATCCGCATAATTATTATACATAATTACCAGTTGGAAATAAATAAATATACCTAGGTATGAAATCAAAATCTTGCAAGGCTTTGGCTAAACTGGCTTTGACTAAACGTAAAAAAAGGGCATCATAAAATGTTATTATATTTAGTCTGGACAATTATCTTGTGCATATGTATGTATTTAGATATCCTTTACATACTCTGAATTTTCCATGCTGTACAGACATGCATATCTACGGTTCTGCGTAATCTTAACTGAAATATGACCCCTTCCTTGGCTCAAACTTCCACTAATCTCTCTTATTGTGTCTGAACATTTGTACATAAATTTTTATCACTTTACAAGCTAATTGCTCCTGACTTGGGCCAGGAAAATGACATGTTTTTCTCTGAATTACCACTACGCATTTCTCCATAATCGACCAGCCTCAACCTGGAATGCATATATGTACATATGTATACCGAACCTTTAATATTTACGTGCCTAATTGAGCGGAAACAAGGCTTGCGATAAGTTGAAGTTGAGAAAATCCAAGTACATACTTAATAACATGACTTAACAGCTAGGTACAGGGTGGTTTAACTGTCACGCTACAATGAAAAAATTGTCAATGGGAAAAGTCCCAAGATTAGTTACAAGACTTGGGAATGAGGTTTTTAAAATTATTATGAAAACTGATTACAAAATTCTTTAAATGTTGAATTTTAGAGACAAAATTTCGGTAAATAATGGAAATTTACGAATTTTCCCATTCTAGCGTGAGATTATAATCACCCTGTATGTACATATGTGTTGGACGAAATATGTATACACCTATTAACTGCAGGTTTTCCCACGGAATGGGACGGTACGGGATTTCGCTGTCCCATCCCGTACCGATAATTGACCAGGATGAGGCTTTCGGGACGGGACGGGATGGAGTTCATCCCGCCCCGAGTCCCGTCCCGAGTCCCGTAGCGAGACTCGTCCCGACGGGACGGGATATCCCGATGTTTTTTTATTCAAATTTAAATTCTGTTCTTTATGAATTTTATCGAGATTGTCTGAGTAAGGGTTGCTGCATTATTTTCTAACAACATAAGTCACACAATACAAGCTGCCACTCCTACCGACTGGTCAAATCTCCATAATTTCAAAATTTTAGTTTTGATTATTTACAGTGTAAAGTTGAGTAATCGCCATCATTTCGACCTACATGTAATTTGCATGTCAAAAGTCATAACTATTGTTTGTTTAATCTTAAAATCTACATTTGTTGACTTTTTATAGTGATATGTAAATACGAATTATTAAGAAATATAAAAACAACAAGCACAAACATTTAACTAACCACGTCAAATTTTTAAAAATGATATGGAAAACAGCTCAGGGTAAAATATCAGACACGTTTATGTATGTACCTAACTATATATGTATGCATACATAATATGTAATTTTGTATCTTAAGTATGTAGGGTCAACGCGTGCGAAAGATTTCCATAAGATATTGTTAGCTTGGTCAATAACGGGAGTGAATTTTGAGAAAAACATTTAAGTTCGGGACGTCCCGTCCCGACCGGGATGGACCGGGACGGAATGACCTCGTCCCGTCCCGAAGCCTGTCCCGTGGGACAGTCTAATTTACTGCATCATATATTTAGAAAAAGATCGAGACTATTCTGTCACCATAAAATTTTACGATGCGTCGTCGCCTTCTCATCAAACCTTTCTTCAGGGTTATGATCCCATCAAGAATTGTGACCCAACAAATCTCTGCTCCATTCCTTCTTAACTATGCAATCGCTGCTGTAGCGATTCTTAAGTAGCGAAGCTACTTTATGGGGATGGGAGAAATCGGCCATCTGCAAGATTATTCTGCTCGGCTCGCTCCGTATCCCGTGCGGGTACAAAATTCTGAGCAGTTAGCAGGAGACTCAAAACTGGTTTCACACTATTTTTTACATGGGCAAATGAACTAAGATTGGAAAACTTTTTTCCTATTCAAGATTTTCAATTTCTGTTTTTTGCATCTTCTTCGGATAGATGTCCTACAGATTAAGTTCGAAAATGGGCACGCCCACTAGTGGGGGTGGTTAGAAACAATCATTTTTCTTTTCATGATTTTTTCAATTTCGCAGAGTATGGGGCAAAGTATTAGCTTCGCTACTTTTCTACGCCCGTTTTACATGGTTTATTCATTTCAGTTATAATAATATTTGACAAATTATTAGGGGAAAAAAACTTACATATTTGAGACAGCCGAAATTCGCAAAATTCTATCCCACGTCGTAAAGAAATCCTCAGTACATACAATTTACCAGATTTTTTTACGCGATTTTCTCGGGATAATTTTTTGTCCTTGAGCATTTTCTGTTCTCCAAATTCTGCTGAATAAAGGAAAAATATATTCAGTATGGATTTATTTTTATCATTTATCACAAATAATTGCGTCAAATAGTTTAGGTCACAAGTATTTAATGAATCTGATCTCTCAAGCACCGAGTATTTGCTAACTATGTAAAAACTGGAAATATGCATAATGACACAATGGAGATCAATTAATTCTTGCGGTAAGGTTTTTCCTCGTTATATTTTGGTTTTCTTAATGTGTACCAGACAAAAATGTTGCTTTTATAATTCGTTAACATACAAAAATATGGGTCATATTTTAACTTTAGAGAAACTTGTTCCAATGAAAAATTTATCCCTGGTAGCAAGTCGCTTAATTATAATTACCTACACTTTACTCATCAAACTATTTTATTAGGATGAAAAAAATTTGTTAAAAAAACTTAAAAACTAAAATTTTACTCCTCGAATAAAAATTGTGGCAATATAATTTATTTGTGCAGCTATTTTCATGCATGCGTGTTCGTAATATTTAGCAATGTAAACATGAGATGAGTACCCCCAAGAAGAATCTTTTCAAGATTACGTAAACCTAAAGGTTGGAAATATCTAATAATTTCCAGCAATAGTTTTACGAATAATTATTTATCACATTTACATAGATTTTATAATAAGTAATTATGTATTAATCAATATCATAAATTATTTCTTTTTACCTTACTAGTTAAATAACGGAACATTTATATAAATAAATAATCCAGCTACTCATGTTTTCTATATCTGGGCCAGCTTTTCTAAAACTGAACACAATATCTCCCAGTTTGTGGAAAATTAATTTGAAAAAGTACGAAAAAATCGAAATCCGGCGAAGATTAGCTTCCTCAAAAACAAGTAACGTCACAAGTAAAAACTGAGATCACATTGTCTCAACGTCCCACTTGTGAGATGAAACTCGACTGTGTGGCTGGGCCAGACCAGACCGAAGAAAAACGTTGTTTGGACTTTGACTTCCTTTGTTTTAAGGAGAATGAGAGGGTTTCGATATCTTTAGCTACCCTCCACTTGGTCATATACAGGGTGGTTTAAATGTCAGGTTACAATGAAAAATTTTTCAGTAGGAAAAATTTGCCAATCTCCATTATTTACCGAAATTTAGCCTCTGGAATTCAATATTTTAATAATTTTGTCATCAGTGTTCCATAATTTTTGATAAAAATTAATGAAAATCTCACTCCCAACTCAGTGACTAGTGGAAATTTACGAATTTTTCCTATTGAAAAATTTTCCATTGTAACCTGACATTTAAACCACCCTGTACACAAATAAGATGAATCCCACTTTTCCATGGACTCATATGTACATACATACATTCTCTGCTAGGGAGTTGCTAAGAAATTATTACATACATATGTAACTCAAAATAAAAATATGAAAAATTTTCCTACAAGTTTTTACGAAAAATATTATTTTCCTAGAATTTACAGGATAAATAAAATACTTGATCACTTCTCTTTCATGTAAGTAGTTTTTGACCCGAACAGTTAAATCTCTGCTCAACTCTTGCCTGAAAAGTAGGCGTGACAAAGTGAGATCACCATAAATATAAGTTTTCGTGTGTACATTGATGTGGGTCATGCTGCGCAGAGCAAGTTAAGTACTAAATGATACATTTCATATGAACAAAGTGCAGAAGGTCTAGGACAAGAAAGACTCCACTGTGTGTCTAAAGTCTAAACATTTTATGACCGTGATGAAGGTTTAAATTAATGCCTGTAAAATTTGGGTGATATTAATTAAAGTTATTGTTATTTAAGTTATTGTTAAGTTCATAGTAGGAAAGAATGTCGTCATAATTTACGTACTAATTTAGCTAATACATAAAAATGAACATCTTTCTGGAAAAGAACTTACAGATTACAAATTCATGATCAAAAATTTTAAAATAAGTTCCAAAAGTTGGGAAATGGGTTGACTTTGATGACTAGTCTGTAGTCATCGTATCCTAAAATTCCGTTCAGTACGCAGATTAACATTTAGATTGTAGTTTTTTTGTATAAATATATACAGCAATTTATTCACTTTTGCGAATACTTCCAAAATATTTCCCACCTTTATCCCCCGCTAAATAATGCAAGAAAAATACTTACTGTATTTTTTGCTGGATTTTATTCTGCCACACATTTTTTGAACGGGTAGATTAAAATAATCAGCATTTTATTCATCGCGTTCTTGGTTCTCTTTAGGAATTCTAACATGTCAAAAATCATGTTGAAAAATTTTGCACCACAACTTATCAAAAATTGCATAAGTCATATTCGGAATAAAAAAATCATGAATATTTTGAGCTGTACATTGCATAGGTTGAAGGCATTTTTTTTGAATAATCTGTTCCAAATTTTCGAACATCTTTTTTTTGCATGCCAATTGTATGCAAATTGCATATTTAATCTCTTTATACATACCTACATAAGAAGTAATACTGCTGAAAATGTGGTGATGTCACATATCTACTCCGTGATGGTATTGATTTGGTAATAACTTCCTCCCAGATTAATATTAGTTTTTTTTTCTGAGTGGTAAATTTCATTACCACGTCATTACAGAGGGTGTTTACAGATTTTGTGGAAAGTTGATTTCATGGGTAAACTGCGAACCTATTTACCGCTTTGGTGCCAAATTTCGAACACGCAATCCTCAAGGTCACGGTCACATATGTACCAAATTTCAAATTTCTATCTTCAAAAATGAGCTCAAAAAGTAACCTCAAAGTGGAGGAATCGGTGAAAGGGGTTTCCAAACAACAGACATTTTTTATCTCTGCCATTGAAAAGGCTTAGTTCTAGGCATCCAAGCCCCAAAAAATTCATCGGACTGGTGTCAGGTTACTTAAGATGTACCCATGAAAAAGATGTCGAGGTCATTCCGGGGTTTTCCTTTAAATCTTGGCCATCCGGTTGGATAATTTCGGCCGTATATGAAAATGTCGCGTCGTGATGGATGCAAACTTTGTCAGGCTCTTCAAAATGCTTCTTTGCAATTTTGACCTCGAACAACTTATGTAAAACATTGTCCATAAAGTACTTCGAGTTTATTTTTGCATTAGACGCAACAGGTACCAACGTTAGCACTCCAAGGTCCATCGTTGCATCTACCACCAGAAATCAGTCAAACAACTTTACCTTCTTTTCAGACCCATGGTTTGAAATCTGCTTTCGGTCCGTTGTGCAGCAAATTATTTTTATCCTGTTATAGTTCTGAAGGTAGCCGAGTGCCCCGGCCAATGTGACGACAAATTCGGAATTTTTATTCCCAACATGACCTTCAAACAGCCTCCGACTGTTAGTTTTTTTGTTTACCATATGGGCAAATTTAAGTGCGCAGACTATCGCCCTCCTTCGCACGGGTTTTTTAAAATTGTGTCATAAAATACGAATAACGTGTCCAGGAGACATCTGGGATTGCATTGTGACCTGTCTTTTGGTTTTAGAATTCTGATTGCCATCGTGGTGATCAATGTTCTTGAGGGTAGCAGAATTCATCGTTTTGAGGGGTATGCATTTCGTGGTATACGTTGGTCGGATGAAACTAATTACAGTCGTTTTATTACAAAATTAATACAATTATATGTGGGGGTCACGATAAGATGGGTTCCAGATTTTTGGATTATCGTTTGGGCACTTTCGCGGCCAAATCAGCTTCGGAAACCGCTTTTACGGTTCGTCCACTTTGGGCTAACTTTTAGACGAAATCTTTAAAGATATAAATTTGAAACTTTGGGCAGATGTGGTTGTGACCTTCGAGATCGTGTGTGCTAAATTTGGCGCAAATTGGATCATGCGTTCACAAGTAATCCATGTAATTGTCTTTCCACAAAATCTGTAAACATCCTGTATTATTCGGTAACACCTGTTGAGTTGTTTCGAACGTTTTGAAAACCTAAAGCCCTTGGTGGAAATGTACAATTTCTGATTTCTGAAATGCAGCTCCACCCTATCGATATCAAGGTCGAAAGGTCAGAAAATACCTTTTACCCTTTAATTGTTCCTATTTTAACGCTAGCCAAACCCACATTGATACCCAATCAGGGGTGTGTGACCCACCATCTATTATCGTTGATGGCCTCTTTATGTCAAGTAATTTCTGCAACAATTTATGAAAACTACCTGCGGTCGTCTCCATATGCCTAAGATGATGACCTTACATAGTGTTAGCCTTGTCGACACACATGTGCGACAATGTCGAAATTGTTGCATTATGTCGAAATATAAAAGCTTATAATTTCGAAATAGGCGAAAGCGGGTCTACCGTTTTAGTTGGAGATGATTCTCGAGAACGTGTGTCATGTGATCCCGCAAACAGCTAAGCTCCATAGATCTCCCAACCAAAGTTATAAACGGTTGAAAAGGGCTGAAATGGGGGGGTTTTGCAAGTGTCGCCCTACAGCGCCCGGCGTTGTGGTAGACCAATTGCCTCCAAATTAGGAATGTTACCTAATCACACGTGGAGCTACAACCTAAGCTACATTTCAATGTCAAAGGTCAACAGGGGGGCAACTTCACCCCCCAGGGGGTGTGGCTCAGCGAATTTTTAGTAACGGCCCTTTTGACTCTCACGACAAAATAATATGTAAAAACATTTGCAGAAAATGATTCGGGGAATTTCAATAATCTGGCCCATAAGGTCACCGCAGCGTGCAGGGTGTCTATTAAATTGTTTATCTAGTTTAAACCTGATCCAGAGATTCTTATCAACTGCGACGCAGCTCCTTTATAATAGAACACACGCATTTTCCACCTGGCTCAACAAATTCCACGACGTATGTAGTTAAAAATTTAATTTGTTTCGATACAGTATCACATAACAAGGGTATAGATAAGCATATGTATGTGTGTATTTACATAATATTTCTATGCAAGCCTTTTGCATAGCAGACACTTCTAACCAATTGGTTAAATAAATATTAGCATTACAACTATTACAACAAATACATACATATTTACATATTACACTATACGCAGATCTACAATACTTTTGATTCTCTCCTGGAATATGTACGTGCCTGGCTTACACTGTACATAATAAATATGGTCATCATTATAATTATAATATAATAATATATTATTTGAGCACGTGTATTGTTAGCAACGGAATTCTCAGTAAAGTAAATATTTCAATGTGTTAGCTTAAAGTTAAAATTAAACCACACAATGGCATCTATTACAAACCAGGCTACGATTTTTGTATATAATAAACCCAAAATATTGTCGTGTTACCACTTATTATATTTTAGTCAAAAATATAACCTAAAAACTTTAATAATCACTGAATATGACAAATCCACTTACTGCAACATTACTTCTAGCTGCCGGAGTTATCATTACATCGCAACATCTCTGTAACGGTAACTAACTGCTTAGCACAATATTTCTGAATCGTTGTAACCAATTTGACTACAGATTTAATCTTCAGAAATTTGTTTTTATCAATCACCTCAATAGCTGTCGAATTTCGGACCGATAAGGATACCTCTGAGGGTCTTATTTCCAAATACGGAAGCGACTTTCAGCAAGGTTAGGTTACAAAATTTTACTGGCCAAATTCCACGACCAAGTTCTCATAGTATACATAAATTGCTATGACAATGGCACTCACTTACATATGTATCTTTATCTCTTCTCTATATTATAAGCTGGAAATGTCTGTCGGCAACGGATGTGAAAGGAAAGAAAGTCAAGCTTCGAATGGTGCGAAGATAAAATTCAAAATGATAAATGCCAAACGGTAGCTATCTAAATTGAAGTTGAAGTGATGCCACTTTCACTTCCGTTGCCCAAAAATTGGTTTCCTCCGTCCCCCATAGACATTTCCAGTCATAGTATAGATACAATAAAAAAATTTAATTGGGTGGGCTTAACCACAATTCCAATCAATTTTCATGAAAATCAGATAAGCTCTCGCCCGGCGGGAGACGGGCTCATACGATAGTTTTACATATTCCCGAGCCGTGCGTTTAAAATTGTCCTTTCTATTCAGCTGGCTCAACCTGCGGAGAAGTCATTACCGGGCTAGCTGGAGCCATAAACTATCATGTTGGTGAAAATACCACTGACGAGCATTGCGTTTGGACAATTCTAGTCCCAAGAAAGCATACGATTCAGATTCAAATGATATACGACGGTTTTGATACAACATGCGGGCATTGGGCTTGTCAGTACGTTTACGCATTTGGTCTTAACCGGGGCGCGTTAACGATGAAGTTCGCCTTGTAAGTTACATACACATACATACATTTAAGTCATTCAATAAGAAATGTGGAATCAAATTAACACCAAAGTGGTGTTCGACGAGGCTGAGAAAAAAATAGGATGTGAGGTTTCTCTTATCAACATATCTGTTACTTAATTCGGTATAAGTTAAATATTATCATCACAAAATTTATCGTTCCCACATGAAAAGCTTGCAATTTAAAATATTAGTTAAGTATAACATTCATTAAAGAAATTTTTATCCCATAGGCAAACCGGTGATCGCAACGTTTACAACATGACAGGAAGTTCTTTCCTACAAATTGAATTTGCCTCCACGGGCCGTGCAACGCATGGATTTTCCCTCACATTTCAAGGGATCGGGGATGATATTCCTAACAATCATTCCCACTACGATGCACCCAGATCCTACCAAATCTATCCCACGAAAAACATCGACTCACCAAGCGGACTTATTAATTACCCGTCAAATGACCCCGGTCAAACCTTTCTGGCAACCTTTGTCTCATTTACTGTCCATGCTACACGTCACAATCCGGTGTACTTGACGCTAAATTCGTTTTCCGGATATAAACCGATTGATAGTTGTGCTTCCTTCCGACATACACTTATTGTCAGTGATTTCGATAGGAGACTATTGGAAATAAATGGTGTAAACTCGGCTGCTCCGGCACGACTGCGGTACATAAATATAAAATTTTTCATAATTCAAACCTTAATTCCGGATTTATTTTGCGATTATAAATTGTAAATGTATGTATGTAATGTAAAGTATAATTTAATTTTTTCAGACACTGCGGAGAATTGAGGAATGCGACAACCATTTACTCCCAGCTTCCACTTACCGTCTCATTCTATGCAACGTTTAATGATGGAAATCCATGGAATACTTTTCAAATTACGTGGGAACACACAAACCCGGCTTGAGAGTATATCGAAACAGTAAAAATTTAAAAATACTATATTTTCAGAACCAATTATGAGTCTGAAATCTAAATGACAAATTACCGCTGAAAATTACAAACATTCATTTTAATCACTAAACTTGAAGACAAAACTATTCAGTTCTATCTCATTCAAGTTACTACGTGGAAGTAGCTTTGCATTTTTGAGTAATTCATGTAATTCAGTATAATGAGCTTGTTCTTAATATTGCCTCCTCAATAAATATAAATATGCTGTAAGTCCCATCTCTCATAAACCAGTAGATAGACACTCTTTTCAAATCTAATCTCACAATTTTATCTAGGATTACATACATACATATGTACAATAAGTCATTAACCAGATTTACAGATACTCGCTTTTTCAACTAATAAGGATTTTGACATCGAATAATCCCGCAACGGTTTGTCGTAACTGGTCAAAATATTGAACAGACGAGCATGTCATCCTAGTCCAGGAGGATGTTGTCGTTGGCAAATGTTGGGCAAAAATTCAACTCTCTACTTTGAAAAATGCCTCCCCTGTCTCCAGAAGTTGAGACACTTCAAGTGTCCGAACTCAAAGAAGTCAATTTGACTTATGTATGCTACCAATCAACCACGACGACCACATTTTGAAATTCTCTTCTAAGGACAACTTCGCAGTCGGGAAGAATTTCTCGACTCGTTTATGCTCCCAGTAGACGACTGGGTTACCGTCATTAATTTAAGAAAAATCTATGGTCGCGCTCAATACAAAAAATTTCCTTAAATATGCTACCAAGCAACCATGACCACCACACTTCGCCGAAAGAGAGGTTCGGAGGAATTTCTCGACTAGTTAATTTGTAACTTTGTAATACAGGGGATAACACGATAATAATACACAAGTGGTGAAAATTTATTAACTACAAGGACATTTTACTTAAAAGTGTTTGTCATTATTAACTGTAAGGGTAGCATGAATTTCCGGTATTTTAGATGAAAGTATTTAATGTTATTTTGAATTTCCGCTATCCCCATAAATTTGTTTCTCCAACCAGTCCCCGTTGTCGCCATGCCAATTTCCACGAAGTGCTTCATGCGTAAAATGACCAATTTTATAAATATATTCTTGCCATGCGGACACCTTGCGGGCATAATCGTTACCGGAGCGATCCAGAATATCTCTTGAATTCTGGTTCGGTGAGCTGAAATTAAATTGTCTGATTGATTTTTCTTGATCGAAGTACATATGTAGTTTTAAAGTCATCGACCTTGTAAAGAATATTAACGTAATAAGGGGCTGTCCATAAAGTACGCAACGTGGGAAGGTGGCAGGGGGTCATATACTTCAATGATATCGTGCTCATGTAACATAACTTAAAAGGGGATCTAGCAAATCGTGATTTTTGCGTTAAGTAATTTATGGAAGATCCAAACGCTTTTAACTTGCCATCCCCCGCACACTATAAAATTCGGGTATCTCTGGTTACGAGATTGGCAGGCCGTTCTTGGTTGTCCAGCTGATTCATTCATTTCATGCTGGGGATCAGAAATTATTTAGTAATTTTTTAGCCCTTGAGATTTTATTATTATTATTTTTTATTTGCGTCACCTTTACAGCACGTTGAAAACGTTGCGAGAAAATAGTCGATGAAAACGATAGCGAGACCAAGATGACAATAAAGAGCTGCACAAAATACAAACATTACATTAGTACAAATTTTTTTTCAGTTATTTATTATTCAATAATTAAAAAAACTGATAATTAAAAAACTTATTGACATGTAATTTCCTGGTATTTTCACCTTGCCAAGAACGATACAATTTTACTAATCAACTTACCCCTACTATAATTTTCATCCTTGTCAAAGAAATATTATAAAGTTTCCAGTGGAAACTTACCACTCTCGATTTTAACCTCTACCAAATTTATTGGTCTCATAGATATTCGATTCGATTAATGAGTGACAAGTTTTACATTTTGCTTTGTTCTTATATAGAAATATGCACTTCAATTATAAAAATATACAATTTTCAAAAATCAAAATTTTTAAGACTCATTTTAAACAGGTTACGCTCCTTTATTTGCCTCATTAGTGAACTTGTCAGGTGTTTATTTTGATAATTTTTACGTATTCTTCAACTATTTACATGTACCAAGAGATCCGACGGCATTCTCAGAAACCAAAAAAATTCCCACGGACCTCATCTGGTTTCAAGCCGGATTAAAGTACCTGAACCATTTTGGTTCAAATAATAAAATTAGTTGAAAAAATGCATGCACAAATTGGAAGTTTGAAAGTTATGCCTAAATAAGGGGCGCGAATAAAACGCCATTATGGGGATGAATTATATTAACACCCTTTAATTCGTAACTTCGTGATAACATGATAATACTAAAAAAGAAGATGAAAATTCATTAAGTACGAGGAAATTTTACTTAAGCGTATTTATTATTATTAACTTCAAGGGTAATGTTGATTTCCTGCATGTATTTTAGTCAAAAGTATTTAATGTTATTTTGAATTTCTGCTCTCCCCGTAAATTTGTTTCTCCAACCAGTCCCCGCAGTCGCCATGCCACGAAATGCTTCCGTAAAGTTGCGAATTTTTATAGAGGTATTCTTGCCATGCGGACATAATCGTTACCTTGCCGAACCAGAATATCTATCAAATTTTGGTTCGGCGAGCGGAAATTAAATTGCTTGGTTGATTTTTTCTTAAGGGTGCATTGTATGCGGGGTTTTGAGTTGAATTGTCGCGTCTCAATTGTCCTATCTTCCACATATTCAAATGGCGATTTTGAAACCTGTTCATCTCCGTGGGCCTCCGGTTGATTTGCATAATTTATTTTGCATAAGGCCCATATCCCATAATGGTAATTTTCCTATTTAATTTAAAATTATGCAAAATAACAATTTCGCATATATGATAATTGTGTAATCTTATGGTTAGTGCACTTGCAAATCAACCATCTCCATGTGTTTCTACCAATATGAAAATTTTAATATATTTAAGCAGATGCGTCAAGTGTATTTGTATACAAACATATGTATTTATGTATGTATGCCTCAGTTTTCCTAATGTGTATAAATATACACATTTACATATGTACATACGTATTTGACTAAAAAAATCAGCAATGAAAAATATTCCTGTCCAGCTTCAAGTTAAATATACATAAATAATTCAAGTTCTCACAAAGCACCCATGACTTTTGTCATGTAAAGGTATCGACAAATACTGGTTTTATGGAATGTACATATGGTACTAATTATTTAACTGAATTGCAGCGAAAATACTACAAGTTTCATTTCCATGATGATTAAACTGGTATAAATAGATATCCCAAAGTAAGTATTTCCACGGCACGTGCATGTGTATGCATGCATGCATGTATGAAAATCTTGATGTGTACGTGCATACCGACACTTCCTCAAATTTGCATCAATAAAGATTTGCATTCCAAAGTGACCATGGAAATCTGGGGTTACAGAGTCCATTTTTTTATATACTAGCATTTGGGGGGATGTACAGAAAGCATGTAATTGATTTGAGGGGGAGGGGGGGGGTGTCCTATCCTTCCCATGTTAATTATAACATGGGGCGTATACATGGGGGTAGGGGTCTAAATTTCCCCAAAACCGGTCACATCCTTTATGTACGGCCACATGGATGCACTTAAACAAACTCATTCAAACAATTCATTTGGAGAATATGCAAAGTTGAAACTACTCCATTCCAGTTTCTTCGCTTGATTAAGATTATTTAAATAGCCCTCCATATTCTGAACGATCTTGACACATGTGAAGCTTGTGGTGAGAGTATATTTTAAAATAAGTAGGCCAATACTTTCACTGATTTTTACACACGAGATTATGAATCAAATTCTGTGAATTATTCGGACCGTTTATTTTTAATAAACAATATAAGACAATATGTCGCCTACCACCGTGATGTTGTGCATTGTCTTTCGCCATCCATTATTTTTTACAAGGCATGATAACCGACCAATTATTCACTAATCTGCTCTCATTGAATGCATACATATGCATCTACATATATGTATGTGTATATATCAATAGCTGGAGTCTCAGCAGCAGAACAAAGAGAACCAGGAGTAAATGGGGGATAGTGGGTAGTTGTTATAAGCCATATATAAGCAGTGTTAGTATTATTCCATATAAATAAGCAGTGCTAGTGTTATTCCGTATATATAAGCAGTGTTGTACATATTTACTGAAGATGTCCAGCACTGAAAGAGTGAGGTAAAGACCCCTATAAAAGGCGAAGAGATCAGAGAAGAAAGGGATCAGTATGTGATTCAGGGTTGATCGAGTACTTGGAAATACTGATCAGATAGTAAGGTTCTCGAACTGACTATCACCAAACTTACATCATCCACCATTCACGATTTTTCCAGAAACTTTCCCAGAACTCATATCCTACATTCGTACATATTTTTCAGGTTAGGCTACCTAATTTTAAGTTTTCTGTTTTTTTGTATTTTTCACAAATTTTGAAATAAAATAAAATATTATTTTTCATTCTTCCTAAAAATCAGACCCTGAAACATCCTTTTTAGGATTATAGCAGTAGTGTGACTCGTCACGACTACGTTTGCATTGGAATGTCCACCTCTCTGCTGGGTCACGTATTTACAAATGCATGCAATTCTTGGTTGAATACAAGGAGTCAGTGCCACGAGCATATTTGTTTATCGGGCTACTTGGCTACCGGTTTTTTAAATCTAATTTTAACTGTAATAAATTGATTAACTTTAAAGTATTATTATTATAATGTTAGATACTATTTTAACTCATAATTAAACTTATATTATAATTTTCTTAACTGCGAATTATTGTAAATAAACCTTGGAATGGTGCAGACGACCACCAAATATTACGTTAACTGTTCTTAGTATAAATACTATGTATAACGCAAAATAGTCGAATCGACTACTTATCGTATATATAGCTTGCCTACTAAGTGGCCGGACTGTTTTCAATAACTAATTTGGATAAGAAAACGTCAGAATAATTTATTTCTTTCTATGTCACCTTAAGTAGCAACTAATGTACCAAGAATAATTGTACATCAATAACCTGACAGATCACTTGCGCTAAAAGGACA